ATATATATATATATATATATATATATTATTGTGATGGGGGGGCCCTGCAGTAAGTCATAGCCCCGGGGCCCAGTGCGGTCTTAATGCGGCCCTGGTAACGCGTTACTCCCAACACTGGTTTTGACCATGCCTTTGTGTAAATAAAGCTTGCACGTGGTTCTATCTAAAGAGTCCCTGTTACACGTGACTATTCACAAGCTGTTTCATTAACGGTATAAATGCTTGGAAATAATATTTAATGTTTTCAAGTCCATTCATTATTTGTAGCGTGCCAGCCACCCAATAATCGCAATAAGCCTGTTTTGATATTTTTAATATAACATAAATCGTAGCCTTTAAATTCTGACAATTTTATCACAAAATACAAACAATAAATGTGTTTTTCTGCTCTTTAATGTGGTGTGAGATCACTGTATTTGTCTCAGTTCAAGCAGCATGTGAATCAATCATCTTTTCCTCTTTTCTAGCACGAAATAAATGAATATCAGAAGACATGTTGAAAAAAATTAGAACTTAATAAAACGAATGTCTCATCAAGGCTAATCGATCAGTGTTTCGAAAATCGTCAATAAAACAGCTTGTGAATAGTCATAACAGTCGTAATATAACAAGAAAGAAAGAAAGAAAGAAAGAAGAAAAAAATGCTCACATTTTAGTTAGTTTATTTAGGCTAATTAATTAAATTTAATTCTCCGGGTATTTCTTTCGGCAAATTCATGTCCTTGGTGTTTAATTTAAGGCTTCGTGTATTCTCAGTGGAAAGAGAGTCTGAAAATACGTTCCCTCATTTTAATTAAAAGGTCCCCCTTGGTGGGCCCCCAATCAGCCCGGGCCCACATGCACGTGCGGTCACTGTGATTTTGCCAAGTCAGATATGTTCCTGGATCACCATCTTTTTTTGATCCTGGGTCAACATTACTGTCCAAAAATATAGACCTAATCCAACCCCTACCCCTAAACCTAACCCTACCCATAATTCATCCCTAAATTCAGAGGGAAATGATAGCTGAATAACCGGGATGTAGAAGCACCTAACCCTTGTTATAAGCCTAAAACTGATATTTCCTGTAAACTTGTTCCTCAAATCTGATTGGTTGATTTCGGATGTTGTACTTAGAGAAATCACATTCAGCCGTGCACGTGCATACCCTGCATACCCAGACACTACGCCCCTGATTTGTATGTTCTCACGTTTACATTTATGAATTTAGCAAATGCTTTCTGTTTTTTTAAGGGGAGGAGTGCCAAACTTTTTAGCATAGATTGAACTTACTGTAACTTCTCCAGCTGTACTGCAGGCGCCACCTGGTGGAATCAACATGTAACACGATGAGCTCAAGAAAATAAAATCTTAGGACACAAATACTAAAACACTTCATACATGTCCCAGATCAACTCATTCTTCTATGACACTAGCAAAGGTTGTCACCCAACAAGTACACGCTGTCAGAAAACAATGACCTAAGAACCGAACACGGCATTATACAATATTTTCTTTTGTAAAAGGTCTTTACATGTCTTTACAAATGTCTTTTTTTTGGCTGTTATTAAGTCTCTCTGGCTGTTATTAAGCCTCTCATCAAAAAACCACAACTTGACCCCAAAGAACTAGTTAATTACAGATCGATCTCGAATCTCCCTTTTCTGTCCAAGATACTAGAAAAGATAGTATCCTCTGTTATGCTGATGATACTCAGCTCTATATTTCTTCGTGACCCGGCGAAACATACCGATTTGAAAAACTAGCAGAATGCATAGTCGATATTAAAAAACTGAATGACGAGAAATTTCTTACTGCAAAATTTTGAAAAAAACAGAGGTGTTAATTATAGGACCTAAAAACTCTGCATGTAATGACAGCGGAGGCCAGGACAACTAGATGAGCCCCAGATACAGATCCCCAGTAAAGACCTTGTCTCAGACGGCCACCGGGACAAGACCACAGGAGCCAGTTGAGTCCTCTGCACAATGTGACTTTGCTGCAGCCTGAAATTGAACTGCTGGTTTCGTCTGGCCAGAGGAGAACTGACTCCCCGACTGAGCCTGGTTTCTCCCAAGGTTTTTTCTCCATTCTGTCACCGATGGAGTTTTAGTTCCTTGCTGCTGTCGCCTCTGGATTGCTTAGTTGGGGACACTTCATTTCCAGCGATATCGTTGACTTGATTGCACAGATACTATTTAAACTGAACTGAGCTGGATGATGACATCACTGAATTCAATGATGAACTGCCTTTAACTGAAAAATTAGTGTTTACTATTGTCACTTTGCATTATTGACACACTATTTTCCTAATTAATGCTGTACAGTTGCTTTGACACAATCAGTATTGTTAAAAGCGCTATATAAATAAAGGTGACTTGACTTGACTTTACAAAACAAGAATGACAACTCTCTACTGTTTAGAATTCACTACAGGATATATTAAAGATCCATCTTTACATTACAGATAAAAATGATTGACCAATTATTGAGCAAAAGTAATTTGATCACTGGGAACCAACTGTCTTTGTGGTAATTTTGGTTATCGTGCTTTTCTGACTAAATTAATTTCTTGTAAAGTAGCAGGTATAGTTGTTAAATGTCAGACACACCATTTCATGTGGTAAAAACTTGGGTCTAAGGGTTAGTCTTACAGTTTGCTAAAATGTGGCTCATGCACTAGGAATATCTGTTAGTAATTACTTAAAATGCAATTGTATAATAAACAAAAACAAAAATAAATGCTAAACAAAAACTAAAAAATTTTTTTAGTTGGTCAAGCTTTTATTGTTTTAAACATCCAATAATCCACCTTTACAGCGTGTTACAGTGTTTTAGCTGTGTGAATATTGACACATGAAGCAAATAACATTTTAAATGAAGAGAATCAAATTTGTTTGTATAATCTGCATCCAACCATGATATCTGTAACAGTTATGGATACTGGTTTACATTTTTAAACAACACAACCTGACAGATAATATACAATACAATCAAAATGAGGCCAAGAGCAAGAGCGGCATGATTAAGGGTGAGTGCCGTTTTGGAGTTCCTCTCTGCTAATTCTCGCTGTCCTGAGTAGTTGGCATTTCGAGTCTGTGAAAACAGTTGTGAAACAGAATGTCAATCGCTTCTGTTCTCATTCTGAATTTCTTTAAACCAATGGCAGGTGGGGAGTTCTCAAAAGAGGGGACAGACTTCACTCTGTGGATGGGTTTTCTTAGTAACATGTAATGCTTCATTTTCATTTGATGGAAGGTTTCTAGGTTGTATTAAATACAATTTACATAATCAGGCTTCACTCAGTAGAGTTTGTTTTATTTTCATTTGATGGAGGGTTTCCAGGTTAAAAGTGTTTTAAACATTATACCTTACACTATGCCAACAAACAAACGACATAATATGTTTGTTTATTTATTAAAACTAAGTCACACCAACATAGGGGTACTAGTAGACACGATAAACCGGTTTGTCAACCAGTAGAGATTTTGGACTATTGTCTTTATAGAGGTTGCTCACACAACGTTTAAGTTGTATTTCTTTTCTTATTTTATAGTGCTTGAGGTTTTTCACATAGGCCTATTTCACTTGTGTCTTTGTTTTTTTTGTCCTATTGCTTGTCATTTGTTTTCATTTTATCGCCGACTGTTTACTTGCCTTCAGTAAGCTTAAGAGTTTTTCTTTTTTGCTCATGTTAGTCAGGCTATTTTGTGATATTGAAATTAATGATGAGAATTATCAGCCTGAAATAGTAAAATAAGAACTTTTTTCTTAAAACTTAAAACTCTTAGGCCCGGTTTCACAGACCGGGCTTAGCTTAAGACAGTACTAGGCCTTAGTTAAAGGTGCAATAGGAGATCTTGGAAAATGCTAACTTTAGCCTGATAGCACTGAAAGCGAACGTCCCACCCTCCCTGCAATTGCCGTCCAAAGCCACGCCCCCTGAACGCATTTACACTCACAGACCAGAGACAACATTACTACAATAGGCTACATCAGGTTCGCAATTCCAGCCCATATTCTGAAGTGAAGTAAACTTCAACGGATTTCCCCCACTCAGGGAGTAGGGAGCAATGAACACTGTGTAGGGATCATATCGATCGGAACACAGTTCATGCACGTAGCTCACTTCTAACGAGCTGGCGCGAGGACTAGATTAACCGCTGGGCTACATCATGTGTCATTCACCGGTGAGAAATCTTTAAAAGTACTACAATACCAGGAAGAAAGATCGGGTTGTTGATGTTTGCCTGCCATCCTCGCTCTGTCTGCACAGCGTGCATGAATGCGCTGATGACATATCCTGTCTGCGCGAACAGGGTGTGCAGAGGTATGCTAATACATATTTGACAGGCAGGTAGGAAAGCACATTAAAACGCTCGGACCGAGTGTTTTGATTGGACGAACATTTCTTGATCCTAAGCCTTCCACAGAATATATAAATACAGACAAATACATGTAGACCACTTAACTTAATAATTGCTATCAGGATGTGAAGAGACTTTCAACCAGCATAACAAAAAATGTTTCTGTCTGACATTTTTTAAGATATGTCAGAGCAAGATATATTCAGTTGAGACAGCTCAAACATGCATTTTAATCTGGGACTAGCCTTAAGCCAAAGTCTGTTGTTGTTGAGCTGTCAGTCATTTACGGGAAACCAAAAAAGTGAAGCAACATATTTATCAGTGGAGCATGACAGTTATGTGAATGTTACATGAATGATTTTTATACTTTTTTGTAACTACAGATAGGGTACAGCTCAGGCTTTATGCTGATGATACACAGGGCAACTTTTTGAGCAATGTTGCCGGGCAACTTTGGGTAATGATGCCGTCAACAGGCAACCAGGTGAGACACAGGGCCCACGACCGATCTAAAGTATCTAGATAGACATTTGTTGACCCATTCAATTGCTCAAAAAAAGTTGCCTCTCCTTTTTATCTTTTCATCTCTCAACTGCAACTCTTTTTTATTTATTTATTTATTTATTTATTTATTATTAATTGATTTCATTTTTATTTATTTAAAATTAAATCACTGCAGTATTCAAAAATAAAATTAAACTATTCATAGTAGCATATATATATATATATGTGTGTGTGTGTGTGTGAATACACACAAACACCACAAATTGATGAAATGAATAAACTGGTGGAAATTTGTCAACGGTTTCGGACTATTGACACAGCACACCACAAATTGATTAAATTAATTCTTTATACATTATAAATAATTAATAATCATTTTAGATTTTTTTTCTTTGTGTGGCTGTTAAAAGGTCAAAATGAATGAATAAATAAATACATAAATACATAATTTTGAACTTCTGATGATTACCAAACTCCTTACTCTTTATATATTTGATTTATATATTTTAAATTACTAAACATTGAAATAAAGACATGCCTACTTATTTTGTCTGCTCTATTGCATGAACCTTATTTTTCTGGAGAAGCTAAACATATTGTGCTATTTTCATACGTAATTATACCTAAAAAAGTTAAAGAAATGTAATTCATAGTTCATAAATAAAAGGAAAGCACATGGACTAATATACTTACAGACCAGGAGTAAATCAGCGCAGCAATGCCCAGAGGTAAGCAGCAGCACAGCATGGTAAAGATGGAGTAACCCAAGTAATCTGGCACTGGATTGGCCAGTGGAGCGGCGGTCACAAAAACTGCAGGCTGCACAGCGACCACGGACTGTCCTGGATATGGCCCCTGGGCGTAGGGGCCGTGGGGGACTGGGTGGCTTGGAAATGAGGGAGGATATCCCGCAGGACTGTCCTGGTATGCTGGTGGTGGTGCTGCTTGCTGCAACATTGCTGATTTCTCAGATGAATTGCAGGCCACTGGAGGCTGATTGAAAGACGGGCTGGAATCCATTCGTCTGATTATTGAATTTTGGTTGTAATTTCCTTTGCTTTGTGCTCTGCAGAGACGTATGTATTACTGTACTCTTGTGTCATATACCCTGTCAGTTAAGGTAGTCAGCATGTGGGAGGTGAGTTGTAGGTTGTAGGGGAGGAGTGAGTAGAAGTTTACCATTGTATCCATCATACTACGTGGCTGCAGGCGTTACCTTGAGGTTTCACATTTACTGAGATACATAAAATATCAGGAGTATTTCACCACACCAAATCATATTTTTGGGACCTTGTGACAATAAATCTTGCTCTTTTTAACCAGTTTCCTTATCCCTCCTGTCAGCATTACACGTCTAAACTCACAACATGGGTTATAAACTCAGCCTTCCTGTGTTTAGAACAAAAGCACTGTTAATTAATAAAAAAACAAACAAAAAAACATGCATTATGTACATTATTCAGAATGATCAGAATGGCAGTTAAGGGGAAGTTACATGAATGAGCTTATTTTGTTTATAATTCATTCATATTTGTGTGTCCACAGATACAACTCAAGCTTTAGCCTCTCATCTGTTTGGAAGTCAACTATATGTTTTTTTATAGTTATTACAATGGTAAAGTGAAATCAACCTGTTGGAGAATCTCACCAAGTGCTGTATGTCAAGCACAAGAAATTTTATTTTTACTTTCACTTTTACTATACTGTAAAAAATTGGAATTTACAGGATTAAAGATTATTATTTTACAATAAATTACTGTAGTCAGAAATTTACTGTGAAATCAATGCATGCTGGGTCATTTTATTACAAATTACTGTGAATGAACAGCAGAATGATGCTAACATCACAGTAATTTACTGCTCTTGTTATACTGTGAATTCACATTGTAAAGTTGTCTTTAACTGTGCCACTGTGAGAAATGTAGTTGTT